GGTACGAAGATTCCTCGTCTAAGATGCTTGTGTTAATACGTGTAGAAGAAGAGCAGTTCGGTGAAGCATATTCATGAAGGTTTACGGGGTCGCATGGAAATGGGCCAGCTCACCGCCGGAACTCTGATGTATCCGTTCGATCTGAACTTGAGCTATATGTCCAAGCACGAAGATAATACCTGCAACTTCCTCAGCGTTCAACGGCAGCTAGACACTCCAGGTGTCACACCCATACTTGCCTCTTAGCATGTTGCGATGGTTGACAATTATCCTTGTAGAATACCCCGGTCCCAGCTTTATCTATACTCTGCCTCATCACGATTGGCGCTTGCAAAAAATCCTCGACGGTTTCGCATACAGCACATTCCACGCCGATTGGCCAAAACTTGAGAGGCTCCAAGCAGAAAACCTGTGTAATTCAATCCCCTTTCCGTTGACGTGCACACGAAACCGTTTCGTCAACATTGATCGCATACAAACGTTGCCTGTAATACGTAATGTCCATCAACTCTCCAGGTGCTGACGTCAGCAGTGGAGGACGAAAGTTGCCGTATGCTTTTCATTCCTGCATTTGCCGTCTAGCACGCACACCTCCTTCAACTCTTACCAACACTCTTCATCATGCCGAGCAAGGTCTGTCTCGTGGGTTCCGGTAACTGGGGCTCAGCCATCGCGCGTATCATCGGCGAGAACACCAAGAAGCTGCCCGAGACGTTCGAGCGCGACATCAACATGTGGGTATTCGAGGAGCAAGTGGACGGCCGCAAGCTCACGGAGATTATCAACTCGGAGCACGAGAACGTCAAGTATTTGCCAGGCTACAAGCTGCCGGATAACATCATCGCCGTGCCAGACCTTCTCGAGGCCGTGCGTGGCGCCGACATTCTCATTTTCTGCGTGCCGCACCAGTTCCTAGGCCGCATGCTGGTCTCTATTAAGGAGCAGGGCCTCAAACAGGGCGCGATGGCCGTCTCCCTTATCAAGGGCATTGATTTCGACGAGAACGGAGTTGTCCTCGTGTCCGACCTTATCCGCAAGGGTCTGGACATTGACTGCAGTGTCCTAATGGGCGCTAATGTTGCCAATGAGGTGGCCGCCGGCGACTTCTGCGAGTCGACGCTTGGCTGCGCTGATCTGCGTCACGGAGCGCTGCTGCGTGAGCTGTTCAACGCCCCCACGTTCCGTGTGGACGTGGCTCTGGACCCTCACGGCGTGGAAATGTGCGGTGCGCTGAAGAACGTCGTTGCTCTTGGCGCTGGCTTCTGCGACGGCCTCAAGTACGGAGGCAACACCAAGGCTGCCATTATCCGTATTGGTCTGAGCGAGATGAAGAAGTTCTGCTTCAAGTACTTCGACGGTGTCAAGGAGGACACGTTCTTCGAGAGTTGCGGTATCGCTGATCTCATCACCACGTGCTTTGGCGGGCGCAACCGCAAGTGCGCGGAGGCTTTCGTGACACAGAAGACCACGTGGGAGGAACTCGAGAAGACTTTGCTTAATGGCCAGATGCTGCAGGGCACGCTCACGTCCAAGGAAGTGTACGCTATTCTCAAGCAGCACGACGCGACGGACCAGTTCCCGCTGTTCAC